AAAAAAATGGGGGTGGAGCAGGCAGATGTGTTATTTACACAGGAAGACAGATCAGATACGTTAAGCAGGGTATGAATTATTTTTTGCTTTCAACCTTAAAAATGGGAGATTGGCACATTTTGTTGAGGTTTGCAGCTAGTTTGCGATGTATACTTTTTTGGCCCAGCACATCACGTATTAGGGAACTCTTAATTAGTCGCATACGACATGGTTGTTAAAGGGCTGTGGGTATTACCCCCCCCCCCCCCGCAACAAAAAGTGGGCCGCCCTGGAACCCACACGGGAGGTCCCGGGAATGTGTCAGCAAGTCTGACTCAGCCAGTGAAGGACGGCGGCATGGAAAAATCTTGACAGTTTCGACACGGTGCTAGGGCGGGAAAATCAATGTTGCCTGGTTAAGATGGCAGTGATAAAAGGCACATAGCACGTCACGGTTGTCTGGCAAATGTGTAGATATCATTCGTAAATATAGCTGCTGTGCTTCGACTAAAGAGGGAGGGAGAGATGGGACTGGAACGAAGTGAACATTTTATTAATTCAACTGCGATAAAATTCTTTTTTTTTCATCCTCTTTTTTTTTTTCGTATTCTTCTTTCTCTTCCTCCTAATCTTTTTTTTTTTTTTCTAAAGCGCTGTGTCAATGGTCGGTTTTCGCTACTCTGAATTCTTGATGTTTTCGTTCCTTTTCATGCGCAGTCTTTCTCTGTGTCTGTATTGATTATATTCCTTTAGTTTGGCTCACTTTGTTAGTTGGTACCAGAGAGTACTCTCCATGATACTAAATCATTGCATCTGTTGCTCTTCAATTATCGGGGTGACTAAGTTTCAGTGCAGGCGGTACTGTAATTTCTATACGCCATCTCTGTTTTTATTTCCAGGCCCGTAGTGGTAGAAGGATCCATGTTTGGCATTAGTAAGTTAGTGTCGGCTGCAGTACAGCTATAATATTTGCCTTGGTAGACAGACACGCACACACACACACACACACACACATATTTATATATATATATATATAAACATAACTGGTATTGAACAAGTTTCTTAGTCGCAGTATGAGATTGTACACAATTGCGAATTTATTGGATTCGACATTGCTGAATTATTGTTAAATGTATACGAGGTAATGACATCAGACGACAAGGCGGCGATGTAATGCTGACCACATCGCCTGTCTAATGCTGACCACATCGCCTGTCTAATGCTGACCACATCACCTGTCTAATGCCGACTGGTCTATACAAATAAAGGTCTAATACTATATACCTGATGCGACCAAGGTGTGAAATATGCCTTCTACTTACTTCTGACACTACTTGGTAGTTCTTGAGGCAAATGACCTTTATTCTTGGATACGGCAACCCGGAACCCACGCTGTAATTCTCAGCTGACTGGCTGGCGAAAAGTATAGATTGCCCACATCAGAAGGAGATACTCTACATTATTTGGTCATGTCTTCCCTTCTACACTTCCTGTATGTTTGCTCCGCTATAGCCTTTTTTATAATGTCACTCCAGATAAGTGGGAAAGCTTTCCTCCTTCAGTAAGGATTTCCCTAAGTGAATACTAGCAACTTTGTGAAAAATAAAACTGGGGTATATCGTGAGGGTTGGAAAGTTGGAAGGGGGGAAAAAGAGGGAGACTGATAAAGATCTGGACAGTTTGACATAAAGGATCAGCTGTGTCCGAATTGATAAGTATACGAGCTACAATTCTATGGAGAGACATAACTTCCAGCGCAACACGGAGTGGACAATAAGAAGAACCAGTTAGAGCAGTGGTACGGAAACACAGTGATATTTTTTAATCGTTTTATGGAACGCAGTTTAGCAAGGTTACTGCACCAAAAGCAGCTAAATCCTAGTATATCCCCGAGCAGAACATACGTTCTCTATCCTGTTCACTTGTACCTATAGTCTGTAAGGAGGACTATAAGAAGAACCAGTTACCAGCAGTGGAACGGACACACAATGATATTTTAAATTCGTTTTATGGAAGGCAGTTTAGTTTAGCAAGGTTACTGCACCAAAAGCAGTGAAATCCTAGTATATCCCCGAGCAGAACATACGTTCGTTATCCTGTTCACCTGTACCTAAAGTCTGTTGTGTGTGACTGAGACCTAACAGCGGGAAGGGAATGAATCTTGTCAAACCTGATTCGTTGTTAACAAAGTGTGACGCGTGTCTTGAATGCGTCAGACAGCGGTATCTTGACGTTCTCCATTAACTGTACCGGTGATCCCTAACTTTCAAAGGTATTATGTGGTTTCACAGTCTTAAAATAGTTCACAAACAAGGCTGACTGCTTACACAAATATAACCAGGAAGGACGCTGTTAGAAGGTAAAGTAATCTTCTCAAAGTCTATATCGTGTGGCGTTGTAGTCATATCTATCCACAACCTTCTATCTCGAGTACTTTCAGTCAACTCTGACACATAGATGATCCTCCATGCCATGTTGTTAAACTGTCCTGCATCTTTTCTCCCGGTCTCCCTCTGCCTGTCCTCTCCTCCTACTTTTCTACTGTCACGATGTACTCCAGTTTTCTCCTTCTCATCACATGACTAAAGAATGTAGATTGTCTCTTTCTGATGTGGGCAATCAGTTCTGTTAGTGAGTAGAGATACCATGATACAAATAAACCGTCGACTAATCTTTGACTCTTTCCGTACCAAGCAGCTCACTATTCATTCATTGGGAAGCCCAAAAATAGTCTACTTTTTTAAACCCTGTAACATTTTTAATGTTAACCTAGCGTGTCAAGATTGTTATACTGAACGTTTCCTGGGACTATCCATGTTTGTGGAGACTCCGTCTGTGTGTAGGCATAGTGTGTGTGTGTATATGTGAAAACTGCGTCTGTCCACTCCGTGTGTATCTCTAGAGACCTTCTGTGTACGTACATACCCTGTGTGTATATGTGGGGACCATGTGTGCGGACACACACCCCGTGTGTATATGCAGAGACTTCGTTTGTGTGCAAACACCCTGTGCATATATGTGAAGACTTCGTATATGTGTTAACACCCCGTGTATATATGTGGAAACTTCGCATCTGTCTTTACACCCAGTGTGTATATGTAAAGACTTCGTATGTGTGTAAACATCCCGTGTTTATATGTCGAGATTTTGTTTGCGCGTATACAGCCCGTGTGTAAGTTCTCCGTGTATGTGGTGAGAGTTTCTGGGCGTTTGTGTGGCTTTCCTATGGACTGACTTTCCTATGTCCTGCCTTCCTCGCTAGTGTACGAAAAGTATAACAGCAAGCTTCACAATATAACGAACACCATATTTTTTCTTGCTAGTCTAAGGGCCAGCCGCCTCACTAGCACGCTGGTTTACCTTTAGCCCGTGTCCTGGTTTCTTGTGACCTCGTGAACTTTTCGGCTGGAAATAATTTCTGTTTGCAGACACGTCACCTGCAGGAAAGTGTTAGGTCAAACCTAACTCCTGGTAGTGGTTGCTTTGAAGATCAGCCACCAGCCGGAACTGGCTTGAGGGGATGGACAAGGGCTGGTAGCGGGTTTATGTGGTGAACGGGGGTCTTGTGTGGTGAACGGGTGAGGGAGCTATAGGTGTTACAAATGCGCCACCAAATTAAGGTATTTAAATAGGAAAGCGTGAGCAGTTGTAGTACTGCTGGCCTGAGGATCTTAGGTTAAAAGTCGGCTTCGGGACGAATATTTGTAATTGTTCAAGGGCTCGCAGGTCGACTTAGCTTTAACAGACAAGTGCAAGAAAGAAAAGACGCTGGCATTGGATAGGACACACTGAGAAACCTAAGAACAATACAGGTAGAATGTCCTTGCATTGGAACCCACATTGGCATAGGAAAAAAGGTAGACCAAAAAACACACAGAGAAAAGTTAAGTTGAAACAGGAAGGACATTGGGTGAGCTGCATGTAGTAGCAAAGGATAGAACGATCGGACATGGGTTGGTTGAGGGCCTATGCCCCTTCTGGTTAATAGAAGTTAGAAGACAAGGAAATGTCCTAGGGGGTAAATGCGAACGGTGTGATGTTCACTTTAACTTATGTATTTCTGATGCGTTTTTTTTCATATAGAAATATGAATGTTTCGCCGTGTGCTCCGCGCGCCACTGACCTGTAACGAACCCTCTTTCACGCCTTCAGGCGAATTGGGCATAAGGGACTAGACCTGTATTTTATAGACCAATCGGCAATCAGGGGGTGATGTTTAAGAAAAAATTTTTTTAAATAATTTATTTATTTTGTAAAGAGGAAAGTAGGAGTTGAGAAAGCCTTAGCATAGCTTGTTGTGTATGGGAAAATATGAATGAACCTACTTAATTGTAGCTTTCATGAAGAATTAGGACATAATTAATATTACATAAACTCAAGAGGAACCCCCTCTTCTTCTTATGTGTGTGCACGCTCACGTATGTTTTATGTATATATCGTGCTTGCATGCATGCATATGGGTTTATATATAGATGTATGTGTGTGTATATATGTGTGTATGTATACACACACACTTCGGCTCTGTGGCTAAGACGGTGCGAACGCTTCGTAATGCCGAGATGCCGGGTTCGATGCCAGCTGCGGGCCATGCGCCTTGCCTTGGTTTCGACAGTGGTATCAAGAAAGCCGGCCCAGAAAGCAGTGGCAAACTACTGGACGTAAATTTGCCTAGAACAATCACACAACAGCCAGGGGCTGTTGGGGTTGGTTCTGCAACGTCATGTAAAGGATACGCAATACATACACACACACATATATATTTATATATATATATGTTTGTGTGTGTGTATATATATACATATACATATATATATATATATATATATATATATATATATATATATATATATATATATATATATATATATATATATATATATATACATTTATAGTGGGTATATAACGAGAAACATTGTTTACAAAGCTTCGTCATTATAAGAAGTATGCTGTTAGGATTAGAAACCCTTGCAAACACACAACCGCAGTAAACAATAACAATTGTCCTGGTTTCTCTCTTTCAGTTGTTGATTCCATTCTGAGCGGGGTGGATGTAGGCGTCGCTCAGCGCAAGAGGCCACGAATCGCCAGACAAAACAGCCGGGATACCTCCTCCTCGTTGGTAAGCACATCACACACCAGTGTGTTGATTGTAGTAGTCCATGCTATGTAGTTGTTGTGCGTCCATGTCCATGTTAATTTTTGTTTTGTTTTTGCCAGACATGTAAGTGTGGGGGACACATAGAGGTACCTTAATTTTAAGTCATCCTAAACAAAGGAAATCCCGGAGTTCCTGGAAAAGTCCAGTATTCAAGGGGTGTTACTTTACTTTAACTCATTCCACCTCTGTCAACCATTATTTTAAGCCATTCAGTTTGTTAGCTCGTGCCAGACATGTAAGTGTGGGGGACACATAGAGGTACCTTAATTTTAAGTCATCCTAAACAAAGGAAATCCCGGAGTTCCTGGAAAAGTCCAGTATTCAAGGGGTGTTACTTTACTTTAACTCATTCCACCTCTGTCAACCATTATTTTAACCCATTCAGTTTGTTAGCTTGTGAATTCATTCAGTTCTCAGTATTTGTTAATAATCTCTTGCCACTTCTGTTAAAAGTGATTGGTAAGGATGCCGTATGGCATGGATTATTTGAAGAAGAAAAATGCCATTAGTTCGCTGCTGCTTGTTTCTGAACATGGGCATTCATAATGTTAGAGTAATTACTGAATGCAACAATAAGCAGAATAGAAAGTGCAAGAGGTGTGAAAGGAAAAGACACATACAATATAATCGAACGTTTCCAACAGTCTCTAGCAATATTATACTAAATACAACAAGGAGCCATAGGCCAGATGGATAAGAACGCTGGATTCTCGATATTGGAGACCCAGGTTCGAATCCTCGGTAACGCAGGACTAGAAATCCTAACCTGCACAGTCCGATGCAAAAGCATCCTCAGGCTCAGAGACCTCCTACCCACACCACAGTAGTGGTAAATATAGGCTGTAATTGGCAGAAGAAGAATAAATACAACACACACTGTAGCTAGAACACTCAACCAACAAGATAACCAAGCCTGTAAATAAATAGTCACGGGCAATACGAAACCAGAAATATGTAAGTAAAATAAATATGGATATCTGGGCTATGTTATACGGAGCAAAACAGGTATTGCTATAATGCTGTCTGTTTAACGCAGGGCTACCAGTGGGATTTTTAGACTGATAAATAGTACAGATTGCATAGTAGCAACACGAAACATTTACCCCATTTTAAATAAGGATATATTTTTTTTTAAAATCAAGATTCCTAAATCTGAACCCAAGAAGTCATTAAAAAAAAACTGTGATCTTGGGGGAAACCCAAGTATTGGCAGCCCTGGTTTAACGGCCCTGCTTCAGTGCACCCATGATCACAAGCATCCGTTTTGTTTGATGACTAAATGTACCGTTAGTTCCGCGGGAGCTTGTCCTTTGCCACTGGCATTCATTATCTACGGTTCGTATTCCGGTCTTGTTGGAGCTTACTTGTGGTTACAAGGAATTGTATTCCTCTTTTGGGTTGCAGGTCCCCGTTGGAGGAAGAATAGACCCACTGCCTTAACAAGCATATGATACAAGGCGACTAATTAAAGACTTGCGAAAGCAGATGTAACTTACAATACAACTTGCCAAAGAAGACGAAGCTACAGTATTAAGTAATGGGCTCCCCGTGTGGGTTCTGATGACCTATTATTGGGAAAACAAGATTAGACCCACTGCATACTCAAAAGCATGTCGTAAGAGTCAACTAATTGGGAGCTTTATTCAAAGCCCGAGTTCATCTGCTTGAGAGGCAAGGAATCAAGAGTCTGCATACAAATGAGTCAAATATGTAAAACGGATGCACGTGCAATATTCAGATTCTGGAACAGGACTGCAGTCCTGAAGTGGACAAACAACCAGAACTTTCCACAGGAGTTTACGGTTGCTGAACCCGAAAAAGAAGAAATATAGAGCTAGTTCCTCGAGGGCTTGTCTTTTGCCATTGCCATTACTATTTCTAGATTCCTAAGTGTACCGTTAGTTCATCGACGGCTCGCAACCCGTCGCAAATATTCATAAAGCTAGATTACCAATTCACAGACGGCTTACCCAAGTAACAGGGCTGAAACATACGTCAAAGGGCCTGCTTCTGAAGCCACTTAGTCTGCTAGCTAGCTTTACGCAAACTTGGAGCTGACTTGGCACGGAAAAGGTGCAACTGAACTTCTTTGAGGTTCTTAGTTAGCTGCCGCATGGCACTGTTTTATCCCTCTCTCCCTTCTATCCTTCTCTCACCACTCTTCTCCCCTACCCCTACTCCCACTATTGTCTCGTTTTTCACACCATCCTTCCTCTGCGTGTTTCTCATGCTACTCTTTCATCCGCTTTATCTCATTTCCCTTCTCCGTTCTCACACCTCTTTGTCACATTACTCTTTCTGACACCCCTTTCTATCTCTGTCCCCACACCACTACCTATTTTTTCCTTGCTCCTAGCATATCATTGTGCTTTACCTTTCAGTCGTTCTCTTTCTCTCTCTCGCTCTCTCTCTCTCTCTCTCTCTCTCTCTCTCTCTCTCTCTCTCTCTCTCTCTCTCTCTCTCTCTCACACACACACACTCTTGTGTTAGTTTTTGTAAATATCTTTTCACTGAAATCTTTATCTCACACACTCTTCCTCTCTATGTGTCCCCCACCCCAGCTCGTTCTCTCCTTTGGAATTATCGGGAGGTTTTGAGCCAACAGTAGAAACGACGTGACCAATAACCTTGTCATTGGCTGTGAGCTCAGAACTTGTTCAGTATTTCAAATTATTGGTTGCCTGACCAATAGTAGTTCTCTCTCATCGCATTAGACAGGCTACGCTGACAGGGGCAGCGGCCACCGGTCGTAAAAGAATTCCCATTGGGTACACGCGTTTACAGGGTGGGTTTCGGGAATACCGCAGTAATTGCTTCCCATGCCAGTTTCTGCGTATAATGATATGTTTGTGTACATGCACACCTACCCACACACGCAACTACTCATACGCGCACCTACCCACACGCGCACCTACACACACGCGCACCTACACACACGCACACCTACCCACATACGTACATTCTCAGATTAATCTTTACTCGTTGTATCGCAGGAAGCCGCCATGGTGTAGCGGATCCGAAAGTCGTGGTTTCGAATCCGAACGGAGTCAACTTTTTTTCAGATACAAGAAAGGTATTCCGGCCCAGGAACACCGTAATTGGCCGGTCATTCATGCTTGCTGACCTTTTACATAGGCAACTGTCTGTTACAGGGATGTCAGATTGTATTGTATTTGAGGTTATTTTTACAATGGTCCTCCCATTTGCACACCACCAGTTGTAGGTCAACTCCGTTGATAAGTTGCTTGGACTAGTCACGTCCGGCTGTATATTCAGTCCTGACAACTGAATCACAGCATATTTGGGCTGTCCCCTTGAAAATAGGTTACTGCAAGCGTTTCCATGTTGCATTTTGTGACATTATAATATGCTTACAAACTTCTGTGTTCTGATTGTATTCATATTACAAATCGACAAGCGAATATTGTAAAGTGGACATACAAGCTGTTAGATTACAGCAATTTTAATTGTAATGCACGGGAGACAGTCGTGTTGTGATGTGTGTGTCAGTGTCACTGTTTCTAGTCAGTAGTTCGGATTTTTGGGAACTGGCTGTTTATTACTTTTCTACTTTAAATGTAGAAATCTTACTTTTAGGGATAATACAAACAGGTAATTTAGAAGCCATATCTGGAGAATATCGACAGTTGTCAGGTGCAAACTATCTTGTGTTTGAAGAAAACGATTTCTTTCATATTGACTGTGCATAAATGGTGCAGCCACACTGTTGATAAATTGTGTCAAGATATTTCAGAGCTCTAGATAAGTGGATGAAAATAATATTTAATTTACTAACTAACCTCTCACAGCAAGTCACTCTTTGCCTCTTTACTAATTGTTGACTAACAGTATAATTATATGTTGTAGCAGTACACTAATAATATTAATCCTTAACCATTTGACTTATGCTTCGCAAACACTGGCTGTAAACTCTTGCGGAAACTTCTGGTATTTCATCCACTTCTTTTGCATATATGCAGTTCTACGGTCTGTGTTAATTTGTGTAAACTGGGCTTTGCTTTGCGAACACTGGCTGTAAACTCTTGCGGAAACTTCTGGTTGCTCATCCACTTCTTTTGCATATATGCAGTTCTACGGTCTGTGTTAAATTGTGTAAACTGGCTTTTGCTTTGCTTTGCGAATACTGGCTGTAAACTCTTGCGGAAACTTCTGGTTGCTCATTGACTTCTTTTGCATATTTGCAGTTGTACGGTCTGTGTTAAATTGTGTAAACTGGCTTTTGCTTTGCTTCGCGAACACTGGCTGTAAACTCTTGCGGAAACTTCTGGTTGTTCATCCACTTCCTATGCATATTTGTTACCAAAATTTTTTTCAGTGATAAGGAATTGATTTCACCCAACAAGATGAAACTGGACAAATTTGTTTGTACCTTGAGGATACATATTTATAGTGCTATAAGTACTGTTAAGAAAACTACTCTGGATGAAAAAAGTATTGCACATATCAATTTCATACTGATCGTGCTTATTTACTAATTATTAAATAACACTATAACTATATGTTGTAGTTGTCTACTAATAATAATAATAACCATCAATTATTTATTTTTATGTTATGTATGACATATGTATGTTTCATAGCAGTATTTTTATGCGCTAAATTTGATAAAATACAAATGTCACCCCTCCCCTCCCCGCTCTCCTCTGATGCAACAATACCTTCTCAGAATCAAAGAGTTAGCACTGATATTTCTTTACTTTTGCTGGAACAACTTTTAGTTTACATCTAAACGTTATTGATGTTTATGTTCATAATGACTGTAGCAAAAGCATTTTTGTTTGTCTGTAAGAGCCTTTATTGTTATATTTAATTGGCACACTTATTTACCTTAAAAATAACGTATAGTTTTAAAAAATATGTCGAAAATTATTGAACTGTAGTTTAATTTGTGTATACATCTCCATAAAAACTGTGGACGCAGAGGGACTCAATTCTTGCAC